CGTTGAAGAGACTCCCACAAATGCCATTTCGTTGTTATTGGGGGCAGGGTCCTGGGGTCTGGGATCCGGGTTTTGTTGAACCTTGTGGATTTCACCACCCAAGGGGAGCCCTTTCTTATGTCATTATCTGCTTGCAGATGTTCTGGAACTGAAGCATGAATGAGATGGGTTGTGTTTCCCGTGGTCAGCCCCCCAGCACTCCACTCAGCTCCCCTGAAACCTGGGGCCCAGGCCTCAGCACAGCCCCAGTGCGAACGGCCGTGAGCATGCTTGCAAACAGCCCTGTCTTGGCAAGATTGAGAATGGCACCTGCACCTCACTTTCTTCTTACTAAAAATTTTGTCAACTTTTGAAAAATGTTGCCATACAAAAGTATGTGAAATGTTTGTTTAATTTAAATAATAAATCTAGGTGTATCCGAGTCAGTGTCTCGGAGGACCCCTGCTTGCCCCACCTCCCATCCAGACAGCACCATCGTCCTGGACATTTTGTTACTCGTTGCCTTTTCTTTATAGTTTTACCATCTGTTGCTGTGAGCAGCCGCCTCAGAACTTCGTGACAAACCACCGGCAATTTATTCTCCCAATTTTGTGCGTTGACTGGGCAGTTTCTTTTGTTCCATGGGGTGTTGGGGTCATTCATGTGACAGCATTCAGCTAGTAGCTGGGCTGGAAGGTCCAGGAAAGCGTCTCGCATCCCGCTGTCTGCTAGGGCCTCTGAATTCATCATATGGCCTGTGCCCATGGTGTCTCCTCCGGGGGACCTCCCTGCACCCTCTCTCTCCGACAGGAGACCCTGGGCATCCCTACGGTGGGGTGGCTGGGTTGCAGGAGAGCCACGCGGAATCTGCAGCCCTCTTAAGGGCCAGGCCTGGAATGGGCACTGAGTCCCTGCCTCTTGTTGGTCAGAGCCACCCAGATCCAGCTGGAATCTCCTAGCAGGTGTGGTGGGATGGCGGGACTTGTTGGCGGCCATCCGTGTCCACGTTGCTTAGTTGTGCCTGTTTGGAATCACACTGCAGGGCTTCTCCAGGGCCCTGGCTTTTCCATTCCCAAACGAGTTCCCTGTGAGGCAGGCCAGGGCTGTGTGTCCGGCCGGGTGGGTGGCCATCAGAAGAGAGTCCCAGCTCTGACGCCAGATGTCTGCCCTGTTCATCAGACCACGGAAAAGGTCACAGGACAGGAGTGAGAAGTTTCTGGAAGGTTGGGCCATTTCTTGAGTGGACAAGTCACATGCCAGTTGGTGGCTTCATTTTCTGCATCTAACCTGAGGGCTTTGGGCTTGCTGGGCTCTGTGGTCTTGTTCTGTTTGCATTTTCTGTAGTTCTAAGCTTTTAGGGTCTTACTTAGAGTAGCTTTAAGGCCCACATTTATCGCCCTTAAAGCAAGACGAGGTAAGGGACCCCCCCCCCCACACTTTTGCTTGAGTGAAGGCACTGCATAGCAGGGGTGGGGCTGGGGGAGCCGCACTTGATCACCGACATGAGGCGGCAGCGCTGTTGATCTTACTACTGCTTCAAGTCTCCTCGGACGAGGTGACCCCTGGGTGCATGCACTGACTGGGGTGGGCAGCTGCCCGCTCCTGTGGGGCCCACACATCCAGCTGTGTGGCCCAGGCAGGTGCCCTCACCTCTACCCAGGCTCCTCTGAGCTTGGCCAGATCGCGGTGAGTTCGTTTCACTGTAGAGTGTAGAAGGAAACGAGACAGTGGGAGGATTGCCGTGATCTTCGAGTGTTTCATGTAGCTCTGGAGGTGGGGGCACTGCCAGGTTCTAGCGCGGCCCCTCTGAGGGGAGGACCACGCCAGCTGGCCCCACACCTGCTCACCACCTCGCCTTAGGGAGAAAGGGGCTGCTGGAGCTTTCTAGGGGGGGCCACCTGGCAGAGGGGAGCGCTGGGGGCAGCTGGGGCCTCTGAGCTCCATCTGCTAGTGGGGGGGGTGTAACGTCCCCAGTGCTGCTGACAGCCTGTGTGGGGGACCCCATGAGCACTTGGGGAGCCCCCACGGCTGCGCTGGCACTCCCCAGGGCTGATGGCAGGACTGGGCTCGCTGGAGCCTGTGTTTAAGGCTACTCATCTGCGTGTGGCAGCAGCCTTTCCCTCCCTCCTTCCCTTTCCTTTCCTTCCCTTTCCCTTCCTTCCTTCCTTCCTTCCCTCTCTCCCTCCCTCCCTCCCTCCCTCCCTCCCTCCCTCGTTCTGCTCCCTCCCTTTCCTGGTCTTCCGCTGCCTCTTCTCTCACCCTCTCTCCCAGTTTGTCGCTTCCTTTTCTTTCTTTGATTTTGTCAGAACAGATGCGCCTTAGGAGTGTTTCTCCGTTGGAACAGCTTTGGAGGCAGCCTTGGGGGACCCTGCAGGCCTCCGTGTTCTGGCCCCCACACCCACGTCTGGGCGGCAGCTCACGTCGGAGGAGCGTGGTTAGCGTTGGGTAGAAAACGGTCCCCGTGGGCCCCCACTGCTCTCCTGGGGTGGGGGGGCACGGGAGGTACCGGGCCACCAGCCACCCTCTCCTAGGACCTTTATCGACCCCGCCAAGGTCTCTGAAAAGAGCGCCCCCCTCCGTGTCCAGCCCCAGGAGAGCCGGCTCCGTGCCCTGCCCGCAGCAGCTCGAGGGCTCGTGGCAGCCCCCTTGATCGGCCGCCCTTGGACCTGGCAGCCCCCTTCCACCCTGGGGTCTCCTCTCAGGTTTCTCTTCACTGCAAGTCAGGTCGCCTTCCGGCCAGAGGGTTCTGCCTTCAGCCGACTCCAGCCCAAGGGCCTGGACCAACTCTGTACCTTGGGGAAGAGGGGGGCGTTGTTCAGCAGATGCTTCCTGATTGTTTCTGAACCTGGGAGACACTTCCTCCACCTTCAGTTTTCGGGTCGGCTGCTGGTGAAGGTGAAGGAGCCGGGGCCGCTGCCAGGTGCCAAGTGGGCTTATTCTGAAGCCGAGGGAGCATCTATCTGACCCTTGTGGGCTCTGGTGGTTCTCCCTTTCTGCACTTGGGAGGGGTTTCTGCACCTGGGCTTCTGAGGACATAGGGAGTGACTAGTGACGGGGACATGCGCTCACGTGCCTCCCCCTGGCCCCGGCGAGAAGGCAGAGCTGGGGGTGAGCTGGCCTGGCCTCTCCTTGCCCCCCGCCTCCATCCCCTGTACCCCTTGCCCGGCGTGTACTGCCTTCGGATCCTAGGCCCGAGCGCCCCTGCCCGGGTGTTCAACCCATGGACTGGACACTGGTTCTTTTCCATGTTCTCCAGAAACGTGTCTATTTTAGTTTTTATCAGCTCGGGCACAGTGGCCAGAATTCCCCTCTCATTCATTCCTTCAGGTCACAACAGGAACTTACTTGTTCCAGGGACTGAAGACTGACAAGGACGCCTTCCCAGGCGTCATGTGGCCGTAGGGGCCTCTGCTCGGGGGCTGGCCCCTGGTGCCTCTCTGCCGAGCTGTAGCTGGCGGTGCCGTGACGGAGCCAGAGACCCAAGAAGCCGTGGGAGCTTGTGTGTGGAGGCGGACATCGAAGGACGGTCGTGGGGATGCGGGAGGGAGGGAAAGGCTGTTTCTGGGTCTCCAGCAACAGCTGCTCTGAACTCACAGCTCAGACAGAGGCTGGCACATGGCGCACAGCCTGTTGTCACCGCCATGTTCCCCCTCCCTCCCTGGAGCCCTGCCTGCCTGCCTGGTGACCTCCCCCCGGCTCAGCAGACACCTAGCCCTGCTTTTGCAAAGTTTCCAGACACCACAGGGTGGGTGGGCTCTGCTGGCTAAGCCCCTGCAGGTGGGGAGGCAAGCGTGGCTTCCCTCGCTGCTCATCACAGCCAGACCACCATACATGGTCAGGGCTCCTGCACAGTGACTCACCCCCAGGAGGCTGATGTCACAGAACAGCGGGAGCGCATGAGGGGCTGCTGAAACCTGGGGGCCGGGAGCCCCAAAGTGTCATTCTCACTTGCCCAGGAAGAGCCTGGGGCAGCTCTGAGCAGACCCAGGCCTCAGATGCCGGACCAGGGCCTGACAGCCTGGCCCTGGGTTGCGGGGCGGGGGGAGGTCTGTGCAGTGTGACCCCAGGAGTGTGTGTGACTTTTATTTTGAAACTGGGTCTTTCTTGAACTGAGGGCCTGCTATTTTCCCTATAAAATGCTGGTCTGAGACGCACTCTGGTGTGGTGCTGCTGGGGAAGAGAGGGCTGTTTTAGGTACTTATTTAGTCATGGCTTGTGGTAGTTCGTGGTTATTCGGCACCAGGCCATGGAATTTTTCTGAGCATTTTCACTTGAGACAGCTGTGGGATTTCCAGGCATCAAGGGAGGCCTTTGCCAGAGAGGCTGCAGCCAGCCCCACAGCTCTTGGGGTCAGGACCAGAGTTCACTCTTCCTCCAGGGACAGCCTGGAGAGGCTTCTGGAGGCAGAGGACTCCCCAACTTTATGCAATTCCCTGAGCCTATGAATCAGAGTGAGCGAGCGACAGATCCCTGCCCCCAAGGGCAGGACTTTACCCGAGCCCTGTGGGTGCTGCAGGAGGGAGTCCGTTCCAGAAATGCTGGGAAATGGAGCATCTGTCTTCCCAGACGCACGTCTCACCTGTGTGTGACAGGACGGGGAAAACAACAAAATGGGTTTTTGTAAAGCCAAATGTATCGAGTTGAAGGAGCTGTCCTTCTAAGATTATGTCATGCATTCTTTTTGTAAAAAATGTTAAACTGACCATGTGTTTTTCTAATGCTCACCGTCATCAGTGTTTGTGTTTGTTTTTTGACTTTCTAATGTCATTACCTGGCAAGACACAAAGGTGGCTGTTTTCTGTTGGTCCCTCAGTGCTTTTGGTTTTTGCAACTTTGCTGGCCAGTTAAACCCAGTGACCTGGGAGCCGCTGGTCAGCCTTGGCTTGCAGAGGGAATCTGGAGTGATTTACCCTTGGTGGATTTACTTCTCCTGTGCGCTTCTCACCTGGGAGTTGGGGGGCTGACTGTTGGGCGGGCTGGCGTCCTGTCTGCTAACACGAAGACCCCCTGGCTTTCCGCAGCCATGGATTTTCCCCAGCACAGTCGGCACGTCCTGGAGCAGCTGAACCAGCAGCGGCAGCTGGGACTGTTGTGTGACTGCACGTTTGTGGTGGACGGGGTTGACTTCAAAGCCCATAAAGCAGTTCTGGCGGCCTGCAGCGAGTACTTCAGGATGCTCTTCGTGGACCAGAAGGATGTGGTGCACCTGGACATCAGTAATGCGGCAGGTACCCCGTTGGGTCCAGGGCCACGCGTGCGGAGGCTCGGGAGCTGTGGCCGGCTCTGTGCCATGCGAGGCCCTCCTGACGTTCCTGACATGGCCCCCGCCCTCCCGGGGGTGGCACCTTTGAGCTGAGGGGTGCGCCAGGCCTCCCACACGGGACCCAGGCCACGAGTGTGTGGGCACCGAGTTCCTTCCACATTTGGGGGGGCCTGTTTTGACTGGGAGCTGGGGGATGAGAGAGCTGCCAGGGCCCGTGGCAAGCTCTGGGCCGGAGTGCACGTAGGATAGGCTCATCGGGGGACAGAGAACAGGGGTGCTCTTCCCAGCCCCTGACCCCTTCCCGTGGCCCAGCCCGTCCTGAACCCCTACCCTCGTGCTAACTGTGATGGGGATGGCCACGGTTGGGGCTCGGAGGGGTGTCGGGAAGACCTGGGGATTGAGAAGGAACTGGTCCTAAATTTGGCTCCTAACCCAGAATGGCGGACCTGCCATGAGAAGGTCAGGGCGAGGTGGTGGTCCCCCAGTTTACAGATATGGAAACAGACCCAGAGAGGTCAGGTGACTGGCCTGGAGGTCAGATAGGTTTTGGCAGAGCCCTCATCAAAGCCAGTGCTGACACCCTCTTGTTGGAGTGTCCTCCAGTGGTGGGGTGTGGTGGCTGAGTGGTGGAGAGTATACCGGGGCGGGGGGGTGCATTCACACCGCTGTCCTCGTGCAGGGCAGCTGTCACCCCCTCTGCCCTCTCTGGGGGTACTTCATTTCAGAGGCTGTGGTCTGGGCGCCAGTATGGGGGGGGGCGCTGGTGGCCTGCCACTCTGCTTTTCACAGATCCCTGGGTCCTGCTGCCGAGTGGGGCAGCTGAGCCGGCTGCTGGTGCCAGGCCTTGAGCGGGTCCGTGATGGCTGTCTGTGTCCTTGGCAGGCCTGGGGCAGGTGCTGGAGTTCATGTACACGGCCAAGCTGAGCCTGAGCTCTGAGAACGTGGATGATGTGTTGGCCGTGGCCAGCTTCCTGCAGATGCAGGACATCATCACGGCCTGCCATGCCCTCAAGTCACTGGCTGAGCCGGCCGCCAGCCCTGGGGAGAATATGGTGGCCTCAGCCACGGAAGGTAAGAGTCTTGGCAGGCTGTTCCTGAGCAGGCGGCTTTGGATGGGGTGTTGCCTCTTACTCTCTCTTTTCTCTCTCTGGGCCTCAGTTTCCTTACCTGGCCTTGCCTGCACCGTGGGGTGCTAGTAAGAAGTCTCAGGAAGACCTTCCGAGCGGCCCGTTTGCCTACCCCTTCCCCACCATTTACCCGCTTGCTTTGTGCTCTGCTGCCCCAGAGAGCTGGGGGCGTGCCTGGCCCAGGCGTCTGCACACGGGGGTCACTCCTCTGGCTGCCCGTCCCCTCTCGTACCCTTCCTCCTGACGCTGGCTGTGGGCCAGATTCTCATGGTACCCTTTGCAGAGAACCCCACTCCCCTCCTAAGCGCTGACTCTGAGCAGCAGCATTGTTTTGCGTGTGGGGTGTGCTCCCTGACCGGTGTGGGAGCCCCATGGAAGCGGCACCGGGAGTGTTGATTTTGGGCTCAGGCGGCCGCCAGGCGTGTGGAGTAGGTGCCCGGGGAGACAGACTGGCAAACCACTACGTAGATGTATCCCCAGGGAGGATCTGGAAGAGCTAGCAAGTACTGGGCCACCTCACCCCTCCAGGTGATGGGCACGTGACGGGAAATGGCAGGTCTGTCCTGTTCCATCTGCAGGAGGAGACAAGAGAGCCAAAGAGGAGAAGGCGGCTGCCCCCACGCTGGGTGAGCTGGACCCCGCCGGCAGTGGTCCGCCCACAGGCCCGGGCAGGGAGCCCAAAGAGGAACGGGGTGGCCAAGCCGAGAGCAGGGCCAGTGGTGAGTTGCGGCACCGAGGACCCAGCCGGCCCTTGGTCCCAGCCCGTCCCGGCACCCGGGGGGGGGGGGGTGCCGGCAGCTGCACCCCTTGAGCTCTGGTTACCAGAGTGACCTGTTGTTCGCTCTGGGGCCCCTGTTCCAGCCAGAGCAGAGGCACAGGCAGCCTACGTTTGGGGCCTCAGCCGCTCCCGGGGGCCCGGTGCAGGAGAGCCTTTCGGGCCCGGTTGGCAGGCCCTAATCCAGCCTCGCGTGTTCCCACACCACACACCCAGGGGCCGAGCAGACGGAGAAGGCTGACGCCCCCAGGGAGCCGCCCCCCGTGGAGCCCAAGCCCGACCCCACGAGCAGCATGGCCGCTGCCGAGGCCGAGGCCGCCTTGTCAGAGAGCTCGGAGCAAGGTACCCCTGCCCCCCCGCCGGGCCCAGCCAGCCGGCACTCACGCCCCGCAGCGTCCCTCCCGCACCCTTCCAGTGGATCCCACCGTGAGTGCCGCTTTAGCTTTGGGCCCAAGGCACCTTTCCATTCTTGAAATCTGGCCTCTGTGTCTTGGGGACGCACTCGGCCGTGCTTCTGCTGGCGCGGGAGTGTTGGTGGGGCAGCGCCGAGTGCCAGCAGGGAGCCCGCCCCCACCGCGGAGCAGGTCCCGAGTCCCCGGGGGACACTGGCCCACGGCACCCCCTCCGAGCAGCGGACGGCCCTCTCCCCGGCCAGCGCCCGGCCGGCTTGTCTGCGGCTGCGGGACGGAGCGGGGCCCTGCGGGGAGCCCAGGCCTCCGCCTCGGCCTTCACTGGCTCTGAGGTTGCGACCTGCCTGCAGAGGCCCCTTGTCACCCTCCCAAGCGCCTCAGTGCCTGCCCTTCTCGCGGCAGAAATGGAGCTGGAGCCAGCCAGGAAAGGAGAGGAGCGGGAGGCGGAGGGCGCGGCCGAGGTCAAGGAAGAGGGGCCGCCGCTGGAGAAGGGGGAGGCCCCCGAGGAGAGCGAGGAGTCAGCCAGCACGGACTCGGGCCACGAGCTGGGCGCCGAGGCCCGGGGCCTGCGCTCGGGCACCTACGGCGACCGCACGGAGTCCAAGGCGTACGGCTCGGTCATCCACAAGTGCGAGGTGCAGCCCTCCCCGCGCCCCTGGCCGCGCCCCCGCCCCCGCCCCCGCCCCGCCCCGGACCTCCCCCGCCCCCCCCCCAGGACTGCGGGAAGGAGTTCACGCACACCGGCAACTTCAAGCGGCACATCCGCATCCACACGGGCGAGAAACCCTTCTCGTGCCGCGAGTGCAGCAAGGCCTTCTCGGACCCGGCTGCGTGCAAGGCCCACGAGAAGACCCACAGGTACGCACCCCTCCCCCACCCCGCCGCCCGCCGCGGGGCCCGGCCTCTGGGAGCCCAGCGACCCCCCCCCTCCCTGTCGCCCTGTGACCCCCAGCCCGCTGAAGCCGTACGGCTGCGAGGAGTGCGGCAAGAGCTACCGGCTCATCAGCCTGCTGAACCTGCACAAGAAGCGGCACTCGGGCGAGGCGCGCTACCGCTGCGAGGACTGCGGGAAGCTCTTCACCACGTCGGGCAACCTGAAGCGCCACCAGCTGGTGCACAGCGGCGAGAAGCCCTACCAGTGCGACTACTGCGGCCGCTCCTTCTCCGACCCCACGTCCAAGATGCGCCACCTGGAGACCCATGACACCGACAAGGAGCACAAGTGCCCCCACTGCGACAAGAAGTTCAACCAGGTGCGCGCGCGCCCTCGGGAGCGGCCGGTCCCCCCCCCCCACGCCCCCTCCCCCTGGGGACACGGGTGGGGGCGGGGCGAGGGCCCCCAAAGAACCGGGGTGGGGAGGTGGTTCTCCCTTTCCGCTGCTGGGACCCGGAACGTGCCATGGGCCGCGAGGAAAACTGGAGCTCCGTCCTGGGGGCCCCGGGGGCAGGGCTGAGAGTCCTTTGTTCTGGGGGGGGGGGGTGCCGCCGAGGCCACATTCTGCGGGGTGGCCCTTCTGATTCCCCTTCTGTGCCCGGGCACAGGTGGGGAATTTGAAGGCCCACCTGAAGATCCACATCGCTGACGGGCCGCTCAAGTGCCGAGAGTGCGGCAAGCAGTTCACCACCTCAGGTAGCTGGCCCCACACGTAGTGCTGCTCCGCGGCCTCCCCGCGGCGCCTCACGCCGGCCCTCCCCGCGTCTCGCCACAGGGAACCTCAAGCGGCACCTCCGGATCCACAGCGGGGAGAAGCCGTACGTGTGCGTCCACTGCCAGCGGCAGTTCGCGGACCCCGGCGCCCTGCAGCGGCACGTGCGCATCCACACTGGTGGGTGCTCAGCCAGTGGCCCGGGGGCGGGGGGGGGGCGGGGAAAGGCGCTGGGCTCGGGTGCCGACGCCTTCTCCTGCTCCCCCCACCCCGCCCCAGGCGAGAAGCCGTGCCAGTGCGTGATGTGCGGCAAGGCCTTCACCCAGGCCAGCTCCCTGATCGCGCACGTGCGCCAGCACACTGGGGAGAAGCCCTACGTTTGCGAGCGCTGTGGCAAGAGGTCCTGGCCCTCACCCCTGCCCCCCGCACGCCCCGGGCCCCACGGGGGTCCCCGGCAGCCCACTCGGCTCGGGGAAGGGGGTCAGGAAACGAACCTAAGCTCGGTGGCAATGGGCCCAACTGCTGGCCCGGCCCAGGCAGAGGTCCCCGGGGTCCTCCCGGATCTAGAAGAGGAGGCAGGAGGCCCCAGCCCAGCTCCCCGGCTGCCCCCGCCCCCCCCCCCCCCCCCCCCCGCTGCCCTGGGGCTCGCAGTTCGGTGCCAGCCGCTTGCCCTGCCCCCCGCAGATTCGTCCAGTCCAGCCAGTTGGCCAATCATATTCGCCACCACGACAACATTCGCCCTCACAAGTGCAGTGTGTGCAGCAAGGCCTTCGTGAACGTGGGGGACCTGTCCAAGCACATCATCATCCACACCGGTGAGCTTGTGCCCGCCTGCCCTCTCTGGCCCTTGTTCTCGCGGGCGGGGCTGGTGGGAAGGGAGGTCCCTCCACATCCCAGCCTTGGGTGCCAGTTCTTGCTTCAGGGGGCCTGGGAGGTTCAACTTCAATGAGGACCCCGTCTTCCTAGTATCCAGAAGGTGCGGTGGCCATTGGAGGCTTCTGTGCAGCCCTGGTGGCTGCCCCAGAGCACTTGCTGCTGGAAAAGACAGGGCTTTGGGGGAAGCTGGAGGCCACTGAGGTCCTCCCCCCCCCCCCCCCAACGGCAGGCGAGAACCTTGCCTTCCCCCCCAGGAGAGAAGCCTTACCTGTGTGACAAGTGCGGTCGTGGCTTCAACCGGGTGGACAACCTGCGTTCCCACGTGAAGACCGTGCACCAGGGCAAGGCGGGCATCAAAATCCTGGAGCCCGAGGAGGGGGGTGAGGTCAGCGTGGTCACCGTGGATGACATGGTCACGCTGGCCACCGAGGCACTGGCGGCAACGGCCGTCACTCAGCTCACAGGTGCGGGCTGCGGGCAGCAGGGGGTGGTCACGGGCAGCTGGCCTCCGCGGTGGCCGCAACGGGGCAGGAGCCTGAGGCCTGAGGCCCCGCGGACTCCGCCCGCCTTTGCCCGCAGTGGTACCAGTGGGGGCCGCGGTGACCGCCGATGAGACGGAAGTACTTAAGGCCGAGATCAGCAAAGCCGTGAAGCAAGTACAGGAGGAAGGTGAGGGGGGCCGCCCAGAGTGTGAAAACCGGTGGACCCCCCCGAGGGCTGTCCCCGTCCTGACTATGGCCCCCCCACCTCCCACAGACCCCAACACCCACATCCTCTACGCGTGTGACTCCTGTGGGGACAAGTTCCTGGACGCGAACAGCCTTGCGCAGCACGTGCGGATCCACACGGCCCAGGCGCTGGTCATGTTCCAGACGGACGCGGACTTCTACCAGCAGTACGGGCCAGGCAGCGCGTGGCCGGCCGGGCAGGTGCTGCAGGCTGGGGAGCTGGTCTTCCGCCCTCGGGACGGGGCCGATGGCCAGCCCGCTCTGGCAGAGACTCCCCCCACAGCCCCTGAATGCCCACCGCCTGCAGAGTGAGCAGGCGGCCCTCCTTGTGACTGTTTATTTAAGGATGGCTGGCACCCTAGATCTGAGAGGGGTGGCCCCGTTCCCTAGAGAGAATAAATTTGATTATTTTCTAACGCTGCCTATAGCTCCCTGTGGGGGGTGGGGCGGGGAGCTGGCAGAGCTGTGGCCGAAGCCACGGAAGGGCTGCCCCTCCCAGGCACCAGCCGGCACCGAGCTGTTCCTTGGCAAAGCCGCCAGGCTGTCCCTCCCGCAGAGTGGGACGGGTACCTCTGGACCGGTCTAAGGAAAAAAAAAAAAAAAAAAAAAAAAGGCTGGCTTCCTTGTCCGGAGTCGGGGTGTGGGCGGCACGCTTGGGGCCAGAGAGACCGTGGCTCCGTGCACCCCATCCCCTCATCCAGTCTCCTCCTTGGGCTTCTCACCTGTTTAGCTTCAGGACCTGAGCTCCCCTCTCCGCCATGGAGCACAGCTGTGACGCTGCTCCCCCCTCTGCCCATTGGGTTGGCTTACCAGGATCCAGGCAACCCAGAGAGAGCCCAGCTCAGAAGCCCATTCAGCCAGAGCGGCAAGGTAGGCAGAGAGCCAGGCCCACCGGGCCACGGGCCCAGTTCTTTTGGGCTTGGGGAAGCAGGAGGGTGCCCCCCTCACTTCACAGGATCAAGGCCGAGCCAGGGCCCCACTCTTTTGGGAACATTTATTTGCCCTGAATCGATGGAGTCTACGACCAGGCTGAGGGTCAGAAACCCGTGGCCAGGAGCTTTGATGGGGGGCGGTGGGGGACACGGCCAGCAGGGGCCGTGGAACAGCTCATCCTTACCCTCCTCAGCAGGGAGAGCTGATGCCGTCCCTGCCCCTCTACAGTTTGCTCCGAGCAGTTGTAATCCCTCCCTCAGAGATGGCGCCACCTCCTCACTACGAGAGCCCCGTGATTCTCTCGAGACCATCAACTCTGTGGGCCTGTCCCCACCCCACCCCCCCGCCCCCCACCTCCCCAACTTGTAGTGGGTCCAGCTGCAGGGGAAGCCGGGCCCAGTTGCCCCACCCTCCTCGCTGGCACCGGGGCAGACCCGAAGGAGGAAGGGGCAAAAGACGAGACACCAAAGTTTGCCTGCGAGGTTTCAGTTTGCCTGGTGGGTGGTTCCCCCCGCCCCTTCCTCCCCCCGCCCCCCCCCATCCGACTTTGAAGTGCCTTCCACGTTACCCGAGAACAAATAAGTTCAGTCTGTGGCAGAAACCTCTTTTGTACAAGATAACGTGATGCTTGGGGAGGATTAAGTGGCAGGAAGGGAGCAGGTCCCATGGACAGACTTGGGGAGGGAAACAAGCGGGATGAGGGCCAGCTGTTCCCATAAGCAAAGGACCCTTGGTCCTCCCAAGTGACAATCACATCCACACTTGACGTGTTTTGTATTTTTTAATAAAGTTTGTAATCCAATGGACACACAAAACAAAACTGCGCTGAGAAAACCAGTTTCATAAATTAATAAGTGTTAGGAAGTTGGGGGGGGGAGAAGGTCAAGGTAACAGGAAGAGGGGAAGCCAGTCGTTTTTGTAGTCTGTGTGTGTGTGACACTTCCAAATCGCGGGGGCAGGGCCCGTGCTGTAACGAAGCGCACTTATACAAATGAGTGACAATACAAAGTCTGAGTATGAAAATAAGATTCTTCTCTGAAAACACATTTTTGGCACAGATTAAAAAAAATGTATGTCAGGGGAATTTGATTTTTTTAAGTCAGTATTATATATATTTATATATATTATATATTTATATATACACACATCCCAAGTTCCGCATATCCCACCAGGAAAGAGAATCCTTCTGTCTGCTCTTTTTCGATTGTAAACTATACATCCGGGTGAATCATAGTCGGTGGTGGCAGGAGAATTAAGAAAGGTGACACATTCAAATGAACAAGGGGAAGGGCGGGGTGGGGACAAAACAACCCAATGAAATGTTCCTTGACCCCAGTGTTTCGGCAGAAGCCTGATGTCCTGCGCGCGAGTCCTCGATGTGTTTCAGGTCCACCAAGACATCCAGAGTGTCACAGCCTGTCTTCACTGTGCAAAAGTCCAAGTCACTAATTTAGTGCAAAGGCAGTTCTGTTTTGTTTCTTAAAAACAAAAACAAAAAATTAATTCCACTGCCCAGTTCCTTTTCTCCAAAAAGAGGAGAGAGAGAAACCCAGCCCCAAGGTGTCTGCAGAGTCCATCAGGTGGTGGTCTGTCCTCGGGCTAAATGTCATGTAAACACACAGGTAGCAGCACCACTGCCCAGAGGGGTCTGCCCCCCTGAGCCTGGGGGGGAGTGGGCTCGAGGGTGAGGCTGGCGGCTGGCAGTGGAGGATGTCCCCTTCAGCAGCTGCTTCCTCCGCATGACTGGGGGGGGGGGGTCCTGGGCTTACTTTCTGCTGCAGAGCCTCGGGGAAATACACCGAGTGGCGGCCATCAGTGGCTCACACGGAGGCGATGACAATCATGAGGTGGGGAGAAATGTTGGAGACGCTGGCAAGGAGGTCGGGGGCGAGACGGGACAGGTGGCTCTCCGAGAACTCGCAGGGCGGGAAGATCTGCAGCACATAGGCGGGCTGGGGGGGGGGGGGAGAGAGAAGAGTGGGACCCCCTGTCTCCATGTCAGGCACCCCACTACCATTCTTGAACATTTCCAACTGGGGGCCCAACACACCGAGCTAGGGTGAGTCTGGTTCCCCGTCAGCTAACGCCCCCAGGACCGTCCACCGGGAGGAACCGAGGTGTCAGCAAACTAGCCACCTGAACGACCCCCCGGGGTAGCCTCCACAGCTCCGGTCTCGGCGGTCCCCCCCTGGGTTAGCTCCAGGATGGGCCGCGGGGGCCCCACCTCTACACTCTGCTCGAGTCCTCTATCCAAAACGCCCTTCTGCCCCCCTCGGAGAAACCTCTGGACTCCTCTGAGTCGGCACCGGCAGCCCGTGCCACCCGATTAGACGGCTGACCAGCCTGACCACGTGCAGACAGCAGGCTGACCTGATTGGAGCCAGGGTTGGGAACGTTGATGATCCCTGCCGCCTGCTTGGCCTGCAAATAGGTGATGAAGGCCGCCTTGAGGGACTCGGTCTGGCTCACGACATCCTCCTGGTCACGGCCGCAGGGCAGAGCCAGCAGCAGACAGTAATCCGTCTCCACCTGTGGCGGCAGCAGCAGCTGTCGGTCATCCGGGGCCTCCCCTTGAGACAGCGGCCCCGTGCGGAGGCCTGTCCGACTACGGGTTCGGCTGCGTAGTCCACAATAGTCCCCCCTCCCGGGACCTTAAAGTCCCACCCTATTTGTTGACTGAAAAAAACCAGTTTCTGAGCCTAAGGGCATTTTACAACCCCTGCTGGCGACAGAACGTGCGGGGCAAGCCACGTCCTCCCTCATGGGCAGGGCAGTCGCTCGCCTGGGCCCCGAAGCTCACCGTCATCCTTCGGGCAACCCCTTCCAGCTGTGAGGCCTCTAGCCGCATCCTCTGGGCGATCCTCAGCGGGGGGCCTCCTTCAGAGAGGGGCAGAGACCGATGGGCCAGGACATTGTTGCCAGAGACAAAGTGGAGCTGCACGGCAGCTGTGTCGTTCTTGAGGGCCAGCAGGCCCTGCCACACGATGGGGTACTTCTGCTCTCGGGGAGACAAACAGGAAGTAAGCTCCTGGCTGCACAGCAGAGCCATGCTGGACATGGCCCCAGACAACAGCTTACTGGTCTAAGTGGGGACCTTAGGACCTTCAACACAGCGCAAAGCTTGGAGGGGAGCCGGGGAGGACCCCTGCCCAGGCTTACCTTCAGAAGCTGGACCATATCCACAGGCCTCTGGGAAGTCAAGTGTGGAGAAGAATCTGGTTGGGGAGCGGACTGGGCTTCGGTGTGCGTCAGAGCCAGTCCTGGAGGGGTGCTGGGGCTTGAGGTTGTGGGGACAAACAATGGCTGCTTTGGGGCAGCCTGAGCAGGGAGAGGGGCCGGGAGGTCAGGCTTCATGGAGACGGACACGGGGGAGGGGTAGGAGGTCTGGCTGGTTTCTGCCTGCGCCCTCTGAACCTGGGCATGAGGCTCAGCTGGCCTGGTTGCAGGTACGGTTGGGAGGCGAGGCTGTTCTACTCCTGTCTGGGTCCCCTTTGCCTCCTGGGAGACCTGAGGCATCTTGCTGCTTGGTGGCTGGCCCGGCTGGCCGAGCTGGGAGGGCTGCGTGGGCTGGGCTGGCTGTGCAGACTGCACAGGTTGGGCAGGCTGTGTAGACTGTGCAGGCTGAGTGGGCTGCAAGGGCTCACCTTCAGGAGCTGGGCCCTGGAGTTCGGCAGGGGAGAGAGGAACGGAGTGGAGAGCGTGTTACACACGGCACCCTGCCCACCGCCCCCCACCCCCACCCCACTCCCCAGCCATGGGCTCCCGGGCAGGGTCAGCTGCAGGCACCCCCTGGAAGTCAGGCCCACAGCAGTGATCCTCTTGGGCACTCAGGATTGAGGGTTCTGGGGAGAGGTCACCCACTCTCCCCCACACCCCTGCAAGGAGGCACCGCCCCCCCGGGGCCCCATCAGATCCCCCAGAGAGCCCCTTCCCAGGTCTTGGCCCTCTGCACGGTGATCGAATTCCCTCACCCTGCAATTTTGGGAGCGCCTCTTTAAACGCACAGAAAGGGCAACACGCGTCCGGGCCGGCGCCGGTACCTCAACCAGCGCAGGGAGGAACGCCGCAGGGCGGCACTCACCTGAGCAGCAGCCTTGGTCCGAGGAGGTAGACCGATGGAGGCGGCAGCCGGAAACTGGGTGTGCGCGAGCTGAGCGGGGCCGTGGTAGGTGCGGATGTCTCCGTATCTGTACTCCTGGAAGAGCTCCCCGCTGGAGTGCACAATCTGCACGCCGTGCGTCACCACCACAGGTGGGGTCAGAGGCAGCCCCTGCAGCTGGTTGCTGGGGGTGACCGTGAGGATGCGGGCCTCCCCATGGGACGCAGGGGCCGGCGCCGCTTTGGCTTCCGCCGTCTTGGCCGCGTCTTTCCCAGGCTGCTGCGGGACCTTGCTGGCCGGTGGCCCCTTCACCACCCCATCCGCTGCCCGGGGCTGCTCGCTGACCGCCGTCACGTGCGGATGCACCATGATCCTCACGTCCCGGGGCACGGTGTACGGGTGCAGCCGGTACTCGGACTGCATGACCAGCACTTCTGACTGCACGGGGGCCGCAGCCCGAGCAACAGGGAGGTGATAATGCACTTCCTCCTCCGGAGGGTGCTGGGAGGCCAGGGCCGGCACACCAGCTGCAGCCGGCTGGGGTGTGCCCGCACGCTGTGGGGCCCTGACCTCTATCTGCTGGGGCTGCAGAGGGGCCCGCGGAGAGTGAAGGGTCTCCGGCCGGATGCTGTAGGTGATGCTGGGCAGTGTGGGCGTGTTCATTCTCACCTCGCCCTGGGACAGGTGGCTAAGGGACACAGTCTGGGTGATACTGTGGGGCGGCATGATGACAGACTGCTCCGGGTGTATGCTGGAGATGAACTGAGGCACAGGGATGCCTGCTGCCAGCATGACTGTGGCGTTAGTGGAGAGAGCAGTGGACGTGGTGCTGCTGGGGTGGCACGCTCTCGGGAACGGGGACGGAGCGGGCCCACTGGGTCGAGGAGAATGTGCATCTGGCTTTGTGGCTGCCAAATGGGAGACCGTTCGATCTGTCGGGGTGCTGGGCCCTGAGGCGACGTGGTTCACTTCTGTGGACAGTTTGCTGGGCAGAGCAGGAGGGTGGTGGGGATTGAGAGCGGACCCCAGATTCGCTGGCTGGAGGACCTTGGTCTCTATTTTGAGGGTGACGGGGTCAGCAAGCTTTTTATTAGTGGTGACGATGCTTGGGGTGAGGACCAGCTGGTTGTGAACCAGCACCGGGGGCGTGTTTATGCCCTGGGTGAGAACCTTCACCGTGCCACCCTGGGTGACAGGTGCAGACACGGAGAGGTGGATGGGCTCGGGCTTCTCCAAGGACGGACGGTCAGCCTTCACGGATGAAATCACGGGAGATGCGTTATACGTCTGGGCAGTCAGCACCAGAGTTGAATGAGTGGCCACGTTGGCAAAGCCCGAAGGAGCCTGGGGGCCCTTGGGCGAAGGCTGTGACGGGGCCACAGAATCAGGCTTGACCTGGGACTTGGACACCGACTGTTGGAATTCGATGTCCATGGCACTGGCCGGGGGGATCTGGCTGATCTTGGCGCTGATCCGCTGTGGGCCTTCCGTCTTCTGCCCCGAGTAGCTCAGGAGCACGACCCCTTCAGACGTGTTCACACGCAGCCCGGTGCCAGAGCCCGCGTCTGCCGGGCGGTCGTCGATCACAGACATAGACCCTGGGTGGAACCGACTGTTCTCGTTGGTGCTGGGTCTGGGCTTGCACTTTGCCGATGGTGTCATCACTGCACCTGCCACCGTCACCGCGCCCGTGCTGGTGGCGGTCGCGCTGCCAGATGCGG